GGCAAGGCCTCTTGTTTCTAACAGGTAGGCAAGCAGGCGTGGTCCCCAGGAGAGAGCCTGAGTAGAGGCCAATATGGGAGAGTAAGAATCTCAGGGAGAAACCCAAAAGGGGCTCATAACATTTCCCTGGTTCTCAAGGTGGCATCAAGAGCACCATCCAGGACAGCTTGGGCACGAGGCACCAGCCATTTTCCAGCTTCCAGGACAATCAGAACTCTGACCAGAGCCCCCAAGTTAAACAGGTAAGGTCTTGGCCAGTAAGCGACGGGGTGGGAGCAAAAGGGGACGGACAGGAAGGAGCTCTAACCACACTGCCCAGGCAGCCGCGCCTAGAGCTCAACCTGCAGGCCACGCCAAACATGGAGCTACCTTGATTCCGCAGGGCTGGCCTGAGACTGAGGCTTCGTCTTTCTACTAAGTTCTCCACTGCTCCCAGGGACCACATGGCTGCCCTGACAGGTGATGGCTCTGCTCAAACAAACACGCTCCCTGCTGCCTGGGCCTTATTGACGATGATGTTTTGAGAGCTAGGACTGGTCACCCCCACGCTACCGCTCCTGCAGCGGGAACGCGTGCACAGCACAGTCCACCACAGGGCAGCTCCCCCTTCTCCAGGCTCGCGTGCTTTCCCTGACACCGGTCCAGACCAATGGTTGGTTTGGCAAACACTCGCTCAGCTCAGCCTTGAATGCAGCTTGACCACACTGCGGGAGAAAAGACCCTCAATGAACCTAACCTGGAAGCATGTGAGGCAGGGATGCAAACCGACTCTCAACCCTGTCTTGGAGGGCCACACCCCCACCCCGTCAGTCATAAAACGGGCAGAGAGAAATGCCAACCACGTGTCCTGCCTCGGAGAGCTGCAGGAACTCCGCAGTGAGGTTATTTTGCCATTATTAAGCCACTCATCTCCTTCAGGCCCCACCTGCGAGGCTGGGAGGCTGACCCCTGTTGGGAGAAAGCGTCCAGACACACAAGTGTTGAATGCATTACCCTTTATTCTGGCTTTCGAGTTCAGAATGCCCTGCAGCACCAGGCGAGCCTGCCCCACTCCTAGGTGACACGAACTGGAAGCAGAGGCTGGGACGACGGCGGCTTCTGCTTTCATTACTAATTCGGTGTTCTTGTTGGTATGCTTTCACTTGGTTACAACCAAAGTTATCATAATGTGCAAGTTGCCACTATTTTAGAAATTAATTGCGGTTTTCAGTTACAACGTTGTGCCTTGCTCCAATTAGACAACGAAGTAGAGGGAGAACACTGGAAGTTGAGTGTTTTGAGAAGTCAGCAAAAACTTTGGGCTCAGCAGTCCCTAAAAGCCTAACCTAAAAACAAAACAAGAGATTTACAGAAAGCCCCCCCACCCTCACCCCCCGGCTCAAGTATACGGGAGGCAGAGAGTGAAAATAAGACTCTGAGTCATAGAAAATAGCATATCCAGGCTGGAACTGTCTAGTATGGACAGAGGGGAGGGGAAGAGCAAAATGTGTGCCCGCCTTGATTCTTCTGGCTTGCCCATCACTCACAGGAAAGCGGGAAAGACCCTGGGTGGCCTCCAGAAGCAGAGCAGGGCAATGTCAAAAGGAGTGGAGTCTAGAAACAAGGACAGACATGACTCTCAGCGCAGGGAAGAAAACCGCCGCCACATTCCGGCGTCAGAGAGAAACCTGGAAAGCAGCACCGGCTAAGAAAAGCCGGGCGGTGAAGTTCACCAAGTCAACAGGCTCAGCTCAGGGCAGTTTGGTTAGAAATAGAACAGAGAAAGTCCCTGCTGTTGGTGGGAGTCACTGAGTGGACCACCCACCCACATGACAGAGCAGAACTGCTCCCTCAGGGTGTTCGCTAGGCTGGGATCTCAATGGGAGTGGGTTCCCTGGTCTTTCTCTCGCAGAAAGTCACGGTGCCCACAACAGAATGAGCAGAGAATCAGGCACACAACAGTTGAGTCTGAGGGCTGAGACTTAAAATGATGGACACTCATTAACAACAACTACTCTCAAATTCAAGGGCTCATTAGAATCATCTGACAAGCTTGTTTTTAAAATACAAATACCTGGCTCCCTACTATTCCCCTTCCTGTGGGGCTCTTAAGGCCAAAGAAGCGTCTGTATTTTAACAAGGACTAAACATGTGCAGGTGGTCCAAGAACCACAGTTCAAAAAGCACTGATCCAGAAGTCCAGGGCTGAGAGCAATTCCTTTAGAGAAGAATTTTCACAAGAGACTGTGCAAAGGACTCTCTCTTGGGGAGAGATGTCACTTAATGGGAATGGAAATAAGATAAAGCAATGCCCTAAAGGATGTTCTCTTAGGAATACCTGTTGGACCAGACAGTTCACCTTTCTGATGATGACAGTACATACCCAGAGGTAACACCACAGGAAAGGAGATTATAGGTAGAGAGGATCTGGGATACTCCCACTGCTGAAAAAGCATTCCTGTAAGGACAGGGCTGGGCATTACACCTCACCTGTCTACCTGTGGGAAGAGAGATGCTCTACTGTCCCTTTACAGCCTCACTCCCTGTTCTCAGAAAAAAACAGGTACCTCTTGCCTTTAACAGCGGAGCAGCAGAGCTATCCAAAGATGCTGGTGCCTTCCCTTCCCCCCAGTGAATGATACAGGGACACTGGTTGGATGTTTGATGCCTTTAGATGTAAAGGGCAGTCAAGACCTGGAAACCCGGAAACCTTTCTGCAGTGTTGGGGGTCTGACTAGGCAGGCACTTGGTTGAGCAAAACCTCCTTGAGAGGCCTTGATCCTGCCTTTTGAGTGAGAGGTAAGCCTTTCCAAAGAGAAGCATTCTGGTTACTTCGGCTTCTTCTTGTAAGTAGCAGATGGTACCAATTGAGAATCAAAAAAGCCTCCCTGGGAGGTCTGAGAAATAGCTCTTGTCATGAGGCTCGAGGCAGCTGGCTGGTTGCTCTGAGCCCCTCGCAGGGCCGGAACAGAGTAATTGGATTAGCACAGCTCCTCAGCAGACTTCTCCCACTGCATGCACTCCCTGTGCTGCCAGCCCTTATGTGACAGCAGACCCCACCATCTTGGCTTCTGCTCGGGAGCTGTCTGGCCTTAGCCAGAGGTTCTGGCTACATATGGAAGAGGAACCACAGGAGGCTGGAGAGCTCGCCAGCCAAGCCCAGGAGTTGGGCAGAGCCCTGGCTTCCGGAAGAGGCTGGCTTTGCCCATTAGTGTTGGAGCAATCAGATCCTGTCTCTTAATGAATGATTATCAATAATTAGTCCACAGCGAGGCAGGAAGAGTCAGAAGAACATCTGTGGGGCCCTGGGTTTCTAGGTGGCACAAAGCAGATACCAGGTACTTTCACCACCCAAGTGTGCCGAACAGCAGCAAAAGATGATGATTTTTTAAAGAAGATGATTTAAACTAAAACTCAACCCCCATCTGCACAGATCTAAGTAAGAAAAACTGGCCCAATGAACTGTCTTCTCCCAGCAGCCAAGGTCAACCATTTTCAGACTGCCATGAAATTCAGGAATCAGACCTTTCCCCGTCCTTACAAGGTCAAGAGCTGAGGCCTTCTTTCTTCCCTTCAGAGGCTTGGTGAGACAGGCCATCCCTGCCCCCAGCCCTGGCTTCGGCTAATTTCCACCTAGAAGTGATAAGGAGGTTTTCATGTGTCCAGTTTGTGGTAGATGTCAGGTACCCTATTCCCTACTTGGACTTCCCAAAGGTGAACGACCCATGGGGCCTGTTCTCAAGGAGCTCACAATCCAGGAGAGGAGCCTGACATGGGAGCAAATGACTGCAGTGAGGTGTGCTGAGCCTTAGCACGGACAGGCACGGTGGTAGCACAAGGCGGGAGCTGCCAACTCTGTGAAGGAGGGTTCACAGAAGGGGAAGTGCTTGACAGGCAGTTAGGGACGGAGGAGGGGAGGGCATTCCAGGTAAGGGAACACGGCATCAAAGAGCCTTGTCACATTCAGGGAGCTTGGAGAATGGCTAGGGAGAGCTTGGGGAGACGGTACCTGCAGGAGACAGTAGGGAGAAGACACAGGAGAGAGAAGAGGAGACGTCACTAGGCCACCCACTTCCTATCACTTTGCACATACTGGAGCTATCTCTAGATTCCTCTCTGAAACAATTCCTCCCCGATTCCAGGCAGCCAACAAGCATCTACATCCACAGCACTGAATGAGGGACCACGGGGAATGTGCCACTCCAGAGTTCACATGGAGCCTAACTGAGTGGATTAAACATATATGAGACACGGCTAAGGAAAACATAAGGGAACACACAAGTGCATGAAACTATAAATGGCAGAGACTATAGAAAGTGCTAAGGGAATTCACAGGTTCTTAGCTTGAGACAGAGCTTAAATACCATCTAATTAGAGACTGTTCAAATACTCAACTCCCCTTGACAAAAGCCGGGCCAAATGAGCCCCCACGAGATGTGGAAAGCTCAGTTAGGCATGCTAGCCTAACCACGTCAGACCGCCAACTACACAGAGTCCAGAAGGCTTGCAAAACAGCGAGGCTGGCCTGAGACGAGAGGGGAGTCTAAGTAGGACCCTTCCTCCGCTGGTGAAGTACACAGGACAATTATGTGCAGAGCAATGGCCCAAAGGTATTGTCTTCCATCATGATTACAATCCACCAAAAAAAAAATCTCAACACATTTCCTGGTATACTCACCATAAACTTTTTTTTGTCTTGACCCCTAAAAAAAAAAAAAAAGTAGGGAGGGGGGGCCCTTAGTAAATAACCCTAAGTATCTCACGGGTTCTTTTATGAACCTCTAGAAAAAAGGTCTCAGGTTGAGGGAAGAAAGTGTCCGGTTGATTCCTTATCCAAAGACACTTTCAGACCTCGAGGGAAGCCAGTTCTTAATGCGCTGTGAGACAAGTCTACACAGTTGGGCTGGGTGGGCTGAGTCCTTCCTTATTCCTCTGGTCCTGGCGAAGTGACCAGGCCGCTGCCTTCATTACCCTGCCCAGCCTAGGAAAGCCCCCCAGCAGAGGCACCACAGGGCACTCACCCTCATGGAGGTCTCCCCGCCGTGGGCCTGTTGCAGCCTGAAGACCTGGGCCACCATGTGCTCTGTGGAGGGGTGCAGCAGGATCCGTCGTGAGGCCAAGCCCACCATGACATAGCGGCCCATCGGGGACAGGCTCACTGAAATGGCATTGGGGCCTGAGGGGCAACAGAGGAGAGAGACATTACCCACCACGCTTGTCATTGTCAGGCAACACCTTTCACTCTTAGTCTTCTCTCTTTCCCTCCAAACTTCCTATCTTCTGTCATCCTGGGATTACCTCAAAGGACCATAGAGAGGAGCATAAAGCCTGAGCACAGTGTTTGACAATAAGAATTTAATAAATGCTATCCATTGTTACCATCAAACCACAAAACAATATAACAGTAAACAATGTAAATACTATTTGAAATCTACTGTCTAAGTTAGGAACATTTCCCATCATTAAATGTTCTTCTACAGGAACATTGTAAGGGCCAATCTATCATATGACTGTACAGCCACTTAAATTTAAGCAACTCTTTACAATCTTACAGTTCTCCTTGTTATAAATAATACTGCTGTGAATGTTCTTGCATATCAACATTCATATTGTTTCTGACTACTGCTCTCTTAGAAGTGAGATTGCTCCATCAAAGAGCACACATTTTGAGGGCTTGTAATACACAGTGCCAGGCTGCCTCCGAGTGTCTAAGTGGGCCATCATACCAGGATTCGGAAGCTGCTGGTGCGACTGTGGCAGGAAGAACCCTCCTACAAAAATCCCACCAGAGTCATGCCTGCTCGCAGTGCCCATGGCATGGCACGGCACTGGGTTGGGGTTCCAATCCCTTACCAAATCGCTTGGTGTAGAGCATTTCGCCCAGGTTGTGGGGAGCCAGGGAGTAGACTGCCAGGATGCCTTCGTCGGGAAAGCCCCTCTGACTGCTCGGGATGAAAGCTGCCAGCAGCTGGCCGTCAGCGGAAATGTCGCAGCTGGCGTCATTGTAGATCTTGCAGTTCTGCACCAGCACGTTCACCGAGGCTGCGTCCGGACAGAGAAAGAAAAGGACAAATAGACAGTAGGAAAAATTCTGGGGTCTCCCTAAGGGCCTGAGCCTCTCCCCCAAGGGACACTAAAGGCTGCCTTGTCAGTCAAAGTAGAATATCATGGAGCAAGAAGCACTGAGGAGGAAAAAATATGTCCCTCGTACCAATTCAACAGGGACAGTCAACACAACCACAAGTGCCCACTGAGTTTTAGGATCACACTCTGAAAGCATCATTGGAGAGAGTAAACAAGGACAAAATTCTTTAAAATTGTTCCTGGATAGTCACTCAACAACTGCTATTGCTCCAAAGATGAAAACCCAGATGAGGGAAGGGCAAGCCCACTGATTGGAAGAAAGCCGATACAGGTAGAACTGCCTCGATGCAGGCAGCCTCCTCCACACCCGTCACGTGACCTTGCAGAGGAAGTCACTTCACATCATTAGAACAATTCCTTGCGACCCCTGACCCCTACTCAGCAGAGAGTCAAGGCCCAGCCCTGGCTGGGTGGCTGGGGACTCCACATTTCCCAGTGTGCTCACGCGCTGTCCTTGGCAGCTCAAATCTGCACTCTGCAGTTCCTGAGAATCAAGCCCGGGGGTAGCGCTGGCTGGGCCTGCGTTTCTATTTGATGTCCTCTCTGAGGCCCATCGTACAGGTCCGTCAGGAGGAAGTGGTTTACTCTGAAATACGAGCTGGGACCAGGAGTGCCCACCTCACCGGCGGGCACAAGAGAGCACGACACACTCAAAGGGACGGAGCTTCATGTGTACATGCACAGAGACGGTTTACTCTTTCTCCGCTCGCTGCAGGAGATGACTTGGGTTGAAACTGCCAGGATTATGATGGGTAAAAAAGAATTTCTTTTTAAAGCCAAATTCAACTGCCTTCCAAGAGATCTAGCCCAGTAAGCCAAAAGACAGGGCTCAGAATGTCAAGGGTAAGCATCCCCAAGCAATGAGCCAAGAAAACAAAACAAAGGATCGTTTTGGGGGAGACTTCCATGGTCGGGGAGTGGGAGTGATGATCAAACTCGATGCTCACTTCCCCATGTTGCTAATGAAGCTCTGAGATGACAGAGCAGATCCAAAAAGCCATCAGCACACACTGACGAGGCGGTTGTGCCAACGCTGGAGGGCTGACACCTACAGCACCGTTATGCATAAACCCGAGGAGGGACCACAAGGATGGCTCTGTTTGCTAACTAATAAACTATTGACATCCAAATACTCACTGTTATCACCATTAGGCCTGCATACTGCTCAACTTCCAAGCCGCCATCTGCTCTAGCTGGTATGACTAGATTGATCGAATGAGAGCTGGGACCGTCTGGTCCTTCCTCGGGGTCCTGAGGCCTTTGCCAAAACAAAGAACAAAAACAACCCCCAACTCCCCAAAATGCCATCATCTCCTCCTCTTTCTCTGGACTGGCTCAACTCCAGTGGGGGCTACGAAACCCAAGGAACTGGGTGTGTGGATCAGCTTCCGGAGTGAGCCCATCTTGGTTCCTCCCTTCAGAGTTGGCACTGTCCCTCAGAGAGCTAAAGAGAAACTGACGACTTAGACTAGACTGTGAGCACCAGAGGAAGAGGAGAGAGTAAGGAGCATGGACATCAGGCAGGACATGACATCAAGGCTGGAAGGAGGGGGCCGCAGACTTTAAGGCAGCTTTGCTCTGTTGCCATTTTCTCTCCTGAATGCTGGGTATGGAGAGCCAGCTCGAGGGTGTCAGTATGTCCGTCAGTCAAGAACTGTCTACAACGACTTAAAACTCACCACCAGGAGAGCCTTCCACTGCTTACTGCCATGCTCATTTCTGAGGAGGAAGAGCGGGGAGACGACGACGGGATAGTCAGGTCTGTCTTCTGGATAGTTGGGCCATTGAGGGAAGGCTGACTTGTAGCAGCCCCAGAAGGGCAGAGAACTGCCCACAGAGGGCCGATCTTGAAGCAGACTGCCACCCTATCCTCCCGAGGAGCACCTGGTGGGCTCAGACTGCACTTTTAGCTGCTAGCAGCCAAGTGCTTAACCCAGGCACTACCAGGCCTCCTAGTCTGGCTCTACACCCTTAAAGACATTGGGGATAGAGACAACAAGCATTTCACCTGCCTGTAACCCACGCCTCCATGTTTGTGCTTCTACTACAGGATTCCACCTCTGAGACCACCTCCTCAAGTTTCATCCCCCACACCTCCACCCCAATTTCCCAGTAGTTCTGTTCTGTTTCAGAACTGATCTTGGGCCTCGCTTCTGTCCTAATGAAGGAGTCATGGTCAACTAGAGTGAGCTGGTAGCTGTGTTCCAGGGAGCTCTGGACAGCTTACAGTTTCACTGTCATTTCCAAGTTCCACTGAGCAGCATCCATCTGCTGCTTGCTGTCTCTGAGCTTCCCCGTGGAACGGGATGCACCGGGCTGGGGACTGGGCATCACTGCTTGAATTCATGTTGGTTTCCTCTCAACAGGCTGACATCTTGAGGAGGAGGAGGCTTCAGGAACCAAGTCTATGACTTGTTTTCTCACTCCTTTTGGATGCAGTAGCAATATGTAAGCCGAGAAAATGGTAAAATGAGATTTGGCTAAGACCCGGTGGCCCTTCACGTCCCATCAGAGATCTCGTTCTATCTGCTCCGGGACACCCTCACCGCAGCGCGGCGCAAACCGCATCAGAATCACCTGGACAGTTCAGTAAAGCACAAATGGCTGGGCCAAAAGGTCTATGCTTCGATCACGTTCCCAGGTGTTGCGGGGCCTTACCCAATGCCTCATTGCCAAAGGGGTCTCAATTCTTGAGCTGGAGCTCCAGCAACCTTCCTCTCACTCAAAGTCCAAGCACATATGGGAAAGGAAGAAGGAATGAATGGGATGAAATGAAAATGAAAGCTATTAAAGACAGGCTTTTTGAGTCCAAACTGTTTTCGAGCTTCAAGGGGGCAGCTCCAGGGGGAGGGGAAAAAAAGATGCAGGAGACAGCAGGAAGCCATGTTCCAGACTCTGCAATGTAATCTCCTCCTAATTATAAATAATTTCCAAGTGCAAATGCCCTCGCAGAGAAGGGGAGGGGTTAGAAATACTGATGCCTGGAGAAACAGATGGCTCTGCCTTCCTATCAGCTCCATAAATTATAAACAAACACCTTGCGCAAAGATCGATGGCAGCCTGTTGCTGGCTAGCCAGCTGAGGCCTGGGGAGTGATTAGCAGTGGCAGTGCTTCTGAAAACGTATTAGATACAGACCTGGAAAACCCAAAGGGGTGCAAATAAGCAGGGACATTTCCTCTCGGCCAGCTCTGAGCCCCTCAGGTTTTAGACCATGATTTTTTGTATAGACTCGCCAGATGACACTGGGGGCAACCCCACCCCCACTCCCACCTCACTTGGTGTCTTAAGGCCTTTTGTGCAGGTCCACTGCTGGCCACTCACTCTTTTATGAGTTTGTGCTTCAAAACCACAGATCGAATCTTATGAACTTTTTTTCCCCATGAAATGACTTTCTAAATAAACTATGCATGACGTCTTATTCACGCGCTTGTAAACTCTGGACAAACAGTAATTGAGTTCATTAATCCTGTGTTCAAAGTGAGAGAACAAACGGGTGGGAAGACTCCTCAGCCTAACTCCAGAAAGGGGCCAAGTGCAAGTTGGATGAAGCTAGATGTGGAGCAGGCAGAGCGGGGATGACGAGACCCATGAGAAACGCTTGGGACCCAGGTGAGGTGTCCATGTACTGGCTGCAGGGAAGTCAGAGGTGATGTACACACCGAACCCTGCATCACAAGCCCCACCTCACTTTGCTGACCACTCAGCCGAACTCCCTGCCCCGGAGTCGATGCCGACTCACTCCCACCCCCGCCCTCCCGAGTTTCCAAGACTATAACTGTTTACAGGAGTAGAAAGCCCCGTCTTTTCTCCTAAAAAGCGGCTGGTAGCTTCGAACTGATGACCTCAGGGTAAGCAGCCCAATGCGAAACCACAACACAACGAAAGAGCCTCTGAAAAATGGTGACGTGAAAAACCATAAGTAGATGCTATTCAAACAGATCAGGGAGCACAGCTCATCAAGTGCTGCCAGGAACCTCGAGTAAAAGGGCCCTAAGCTTCTAGAACAGTGGTTCTCAACCTTCCTAATGCTGCAACCCTTTAATACAGTTCTTCTTGTGATGGTGAACCCCAACCATAAAATTACTTTCATTGCTATTCATAACTGTAATTTTGCTACTGTTATCAATTGGGCAACCCCTATGAAAAGGTCATTCGACCCCCACTCCCCCAAAAAAGGGGTCGCGACCCACAGGTTGAGAACCGTTGTTCTAGAAGAACAAATGACAGATAGAAAGGGAATGCTATGGTCAGGGTCGAGGCTGGAGAAAGCCTTCGAAGTCAATGCCCGGATCATGGGTGGTTTTTCTATCCCAGAAAATAATCTCCAGCCAGGCAGGGGGCATGTTTAAGAGGGCTCAGAATCCACCACAGAGAAGGCAACAGCTGTAGCTACCTCAAGTACCACCCTCCTCCAGAGCGGGAAAATATGGATAAGCAGTCTACATTTGCACAAATCAAAAATACAAGGAGGGTTCAAAAAGTGTGTGGAAACTTTTCATTCTCTTTGAACTCTATTTTCCCACGATTTTTTTTAACACCCCCCCACCCCCCGCGCGCTTTATGCAAATAGAGTGAGATCTGTTCCTGTGTCTTAAGAATTTGTACATTAAGTTGGAACAGGTGCATCCAGTCCTTATCTAGCCTAATTTAATGGACAAGAACCTTGATGTTGCAACAATTAAAGTGCTTGACAATCAACCAAAGGCCCAGCTCCACTCGGGGGGGAGGGAGGACATCAATCCCAAGCCCCAGTGTCCCGAGAAAGGGTTTTTGAGGTGTCGAGCTCTTCAGAAGGAGGTCATCTCTTCTTTCTCCAGAGGAGAGGCTGGTGGGTTTGAACTGCTGACCCTGTGCTTAGCAGCAAAATACGTGGGCGAGAGGTCATCAGGCTCCACT